CCCCACTTTCCCCACTCCTCACTCACATTCTAAACCCTATCCCCACGCCTCTTTCTTCTTCTTTTTCTTTCCATCTCCCTCAAACCCACTTCTTTCACAAACACACACACCCACTCCCGTCTATCTCCTCTCCACCTTCTATCACTCTCAACTTCTACAAGAACCAGGTATGTCATACTTTCTCTCTCTCTTCTTGTACATTTTTATTTTGCAATTTTAATGCTTGAATTGTTGTAGTATCTATAGTTAGATTTTTGGTTTTCTTTTTTATTTTTATTTTATTTTAATGGGTAATGTGTAAAATGTTGTAGAGAAGGGTATGGTCTTGTTCTGTGAAGTTAATTGTAGTAAAGTGGAGTAATGAAGTGATACTGAATGATTTTGGGGGAGAGTTTATACTCCCATGGGATAGATGTGTTAAATTGTTGTTCAATGCACACCAGGTGCTTGTGAAATTATCCCAAATGAGCTGTAATGGGTAATGTGACCGTGGTGGTGGTGAAGTCTGAGTAACCACCCCGGGTTCACACAACTCAAACCCTCACTAATAATAGCCCTTGTTTTGTCAGGTACAATGCATCAGTCAAGAAAAAGACGGGCCACAGGTTCCTCCGCTAGTGGACTAGGAGGTTCAGCCAGAGCTCGAGCTCAGGCTAGTGCGGACCAGTTTGACCGCACTCGGTTTGTATCCAAAGCGGCTCAAGATCGGTTTCATGCAAAGGCATCCAAGAAGCTGTTGGTGGAAGTACAAATTGACAGGCATGCCTTGGAAGTTGAATGCCCACGTATCCATGAGGAATTGAGGAGGCGTCATCTGGACATCTTCTTTAATGAACCGGAAGAGGTCAATGTGCTGCTAGTACGGGAATTTTATGCCAATTGCTCAGAACATGTTGATAGGGTTGTCACGGTCCGCCCCGGTGGATGCGTCTCTTGAGGCCATCCGTCGAGTTTACAGGTTGTCGGTGTTCACTGGAGAGATACACTATTACCAAGATTATCAACGCCCACCGGTATGGTGGCAACCAATTATTGAAACAATCTGTGTGGCTGGCCGTGATCCAATATGGATAAAGCACAGAATTACCCTGAACTCCCAATCTCTCACTTGGGAAGCTAAGTGTTGGCTCACAATCATCAACAGCCGTTTGCTGCCATCCAGCAACACCACAAATGTTAATGGGCCAAGAGCAGCGACGATTTATTGTTTCATGACCCAACATAATTTTAATGTGGCCCGGCTCATTCAAGAGGAAATGTTCATCCGCTCCCCGGAAATACTCAAAGGGTTCTACTTCCCCTCCTTGGTCACCAAGCTGTGTCGTGCCTCACGAGTTCCTGAAAATCCCATGGTAG